TTGGCTGTGGAATTATTTTTTGCTGCTTTTATTGGGGGGAAAATAGGGAAAAGGATTCTTAGTGTGCCGTCGTTTGTCAACATTTTTTGCTTTACACCGCTTTCAGACAGCTCAAAAAGTCATTTATTTTATTTTTATTTTTTTTATTTTTTGGTTTTTTTATTGAAGGATAGGAATAAGTGGAAAATAGGAGGATGTCTTTGCCTTTTTTTTTTTTTTTTTATTTTGGCTACTACTTCTAATGCTTTCTGTTTTTGTCAAATCTTCCAATTTTTCATCATCGTTTTCGTTTTTTTAATCTTTTTTCGTTGTTCTTTCGTTTGTCAATAAATTCAATGTAGGCAAAAAAAAAAAAAAAAAAAAAAGAAGACAAAGCGGTAATACTTTAGTCTCTTTTTTTTTCTGTGTTTATTTTTTTTCTTTTCAGTTACAAATTCTTCAATTTTGTAACTGCCACTTTTTTTTTCTAACAACATCGAATGATATTGACAGCCAACAAATTTAACGATAAGGTGAATACTTATCACAGATTAGTGTTGAGTAAAACGTTACCAAAACAAGTGAAAAACAATTGCAACAACTCAGTGGTGGGTAACAGTTGTTGAAAGGTAGAAAAGGTTGAATGTTTAGAAGATATTTGGGAGAAGAAGAAGATGAAGAAGGAGAAGAAGAAGGAAAAGGAAAGAAAAAAGCAAAAAATTTTTCAGTTTTTATTTTCTCTTTATACCTTTAAGGTCCTGTGAACATACAGAATTCAATGCAATTCTTTTTTAGAATTTTTTACTCGCAAAACCAAAATTTGTTTATCATTTTTTGCAGCAAAAAGATTTAAAAAAATAAATTGGTTTATTTCTTTTTAAATTTTTTACATACTGTCATCCGTCGTTCTTTTATTTGATTTAGTAAAAAATTGCTTTTTTTTTTTTAAAGAAAACAAAGAATGAAAAAAAAAACGAATGGGAACGACAGCGGTAATTAATTTTAATCATTTGCTGTCTGGCTAAACGTTTTTGCTATTCCTTATTTTACGATGTTGATGATGATGATGATGATGTTTAAGGTAGCTATCGAGCCTGTGATCATACATTTATTGTCAACGAAACAGATGGTATCGTTATTGAAGTCGGTTACGATAGACCGGCAATTGAACCGTATCGGGCCCGGCATTTACCAGAAATATTTTGGCCCGGTTATGACAACGGCGAAAACAGTTATATTGTTCTGTTGGTGGATATTGGTTTTGGTACACTAAAATATGCAGCTTCTGATTATCCGCTTAAAACAAAGGTTAACAACAAATGAACATTTAATTTTACTTTTTTCTTTTTTTTCTTTAACAATATTATAATAAATCTTAAAATTAGTTCTTAACATTGTTGCCGCTAATATTTTTGATCAATTTCTTCTCTTTTCTACCATTGTTTATTTGCTATTTTTTTGGCGCTGACAATGTTTTTAATGTTTTCAATTTGAGAAAATTTTAGAAAAGAAACTCTTTAGTCAAAAAGAAATAAAAAAAAAAAATTTCTTTTTTCTTCTCGTAAACAATCGGTGATTATTTATGCTTTACCTAAATTAATTAATATTTGCTTCAACGTATCCATTAGAACATTTATTAAACAAACAACCAATGCCATCAGTATTACTACCAGCACCGAATTTGCACTTGGAAAAGTACTTCTACTCTCCTCCTACAACACTAAGGAAGACCTATCGAAAGAAAAAAATAGCAAAAAATATTTTTTTTTTTCATTATTTTATACAGCAGTTAAGTCTTAGCGTTTTTTTTTTTATATCAATCAAATTATCAGTCAATTTTTTCCTTATATTTTTGAAGAATAAATTTGTTGTTATGCAAACTTTAATCAACAGTTTTTTGTTAAATTGTTTCTATAAAACAATTTACAGCAAAACAAAAAAAGCAAAAAGAAAAAAGAAAAAACTTTAATGGATGAAATATTATGGGGGAAAACTTTTATTGAAGTAATTTTTCACTTCACACCCAACATTTCCAGAATTTCTTTGATAGACTTTAAAGATGGAAACATTTGGAGCAAAAGCGGAAAAAGAGGGAGAAGAAACAAAACAAAAAATGATCCAAAAATGATAGTACAATAAATTTGCACCAAAGCATTTATCATATCGAAGTTTCTGAAAAGTTTTTGTTTAAAATTTTTTTTTCCTACTGAAAATTTTTACGTTTCTTTTTCTATTTTGCTTTGCCGAATAGCTGCTTGAGAATAAAAGACGGTTAAATAGAAGTTGTCATAAATTTTTTTTTTTTTTACAAATGCATTCAAATAGTTTTTGCAATAAATATTGCTAAATCAGTTACTGTTTCGGATAATATTGGTTCATTTTATTCTTCTTTTATTTCCAGTGGCCACTATAAAAAACAGTCCTATTTTCATATCACTCATTTTTATTTTAGGAACTTCGATCATATTCTACAGCAGAAAATTTTCGTCCAGTTGTAAATCCAGTAGCTGCCTTAATTTTTGAACAGCCTAAACATTTATCGGCAAATGATATAAAATTACAGTCAGAAGCTCAACTATTCAACCTTCCACAATTTATGCTCGAAAATGGCTTAGAAAACGGTGATAGACCATTGCTGATTTGTCTATAGTCATCCATATAAACGGCCAATTTTAATTTGCAAGTTATTTTTGACAGAAAAAAAAGGCTCAAATATCATTTGTTATTGAATATCAACAAATGTTTCAGACAAATGTGTATTATTCTAATATATCACACTTAAGAAAATCATTCTAAGGCATTTTTGCCATAGACAAACGGCATTAACAGTAGCAAAAGTATCAAGAAAACAGCAAGATTGTTTCAAATACACCAATAAAACTTTCTGTAGTCAAAAAGTGCAGAAAATTTTACTTGTAAAATTCCCAATGATCAATAGTTGTGATTGGAACATTCATTTCTCTATTTTTCAGGTTTAATTGGAATCAATTTGATACTGATATCCTATGATGCTTATGCAATCGAAAAACAACGTCTTAAGGCTGTTGCCGATAATTGTCATTTTTTAATTGAACAACGTATGTTACTCATACGTGATTTTGTTCTTTTTACATGGCCATATGTGTCATAAATGTGTACACTAACAGATATAGAGACTTATTTCAAAAAAGCAAATACGAATAGAACGATCTAAAAAATTAACAATAATCTGATCTTTCCTAAGTTGACAGACTATCAAAAAAAAAAAGACTGTTAGTATTTATTGGGGATTAATTTATTATTATTTTATTATATTATATTTATTAGAGATTAAATCTGTTATTGAAAATTTTCGCACGTTTCTTCTACAACTTTTCTTCTTTCGTCAGACGGCGTTTGAACGCCAACTGCTAATAGTGCTCCGGAAAAAAAAAAAAGAGCATTAACGGAACATAAAGTGTCGTCTGCATTTAACAGCTCTATATTTTTGATGAAACGAATACGGTAACTGATGATAATGTAATTTTCCGTTTGGTGATCATCAAAATTTGCTTTTGCATTTTCTTTCATAAAATACCAGTTTGAGTTTTACTGCTGAAAAACGGCAAAACAACAACAGCAACAGAAAAAAGCCTAATCTTTAAACTTATTTGTTATCTTATCTTAAACTTTAAAACCCTATTTTCTGGTTCCTCTATCTTACTTTTTTTTTCTTTTTTTTTCCAATAAATTTTACAAAGAAAAAAAAAAACGGCTCGACAGTTATTTGTAATCTAATATACACAGAAAGCTGCATTTGACATTTGTAAAACATATGTTCTGTTTAGACAATTTTTTTATTTTTTTTCTTCTTGTCTTTGTTACTTTCTTTTTTTTTTCGTTTTTTTATACACAGTAGTTCAGATGCTATATAGAAAGTTGATGTTTGAAGCTTTATAGATTATTTGCTTACTCGAATGTCAATTAACAGATCATATTAGTTGACATATATATTAATACACTTTATTTTATTTTTTTTTTTTTTAGAATTACAACATAATGTACCGTGGGAGTTTATTCGTTCATTTCCATTAAATGAAATGGATTCATGGTTGTCGATGGAGTTTCAACAACCAGCAACATCTGGATTCGTTTGTTGCAAACAACTAAAAAATCGGTCTGTATATAACGTTGTCCTTGATTGTTTAAAGAAATAAGGAACAGCAAACAGCAGCAGCAGTAAAAGCATCAACAGCAGTATATAAACTGATTGATCATTTATTATTGACAAAAAGGTGTTTGTATACAAACACAGTTGCAAAAACAAATTGACTAGCCGTCAGTTAGCAGCAATTTTGGCTAAAACATCGATCAAGAACCCGGAAATTATGTACCTTTGTTCCAAAATATTACTGCTTCTGCTGTTCCTGCTACTGCTGCTGTTCTTGCTAACAACTGCCAAAAATAGACTGTTTCGTTTTGAAAGCAGCGGAAAAGTTTAAACAAGTTTAGTTTATTAAAACAATAGAGTAGTTTAAGCAACAAGCAAATAGCAACAGGTTTTTTGTGTGAATAAAATAGTTGCTGTAATTTAGGGTTTATATTTCATTGCTGAAATAACGTCAGTAGAAAATAATATGATTTGAAAAGCTAATGCAGAAATGTACTGTTAGTACAGAACCGACATTGGTTAACAAATTATGTTGCAAAAAAGTTTTTAACTTGAGAAAATTGGGTAGAATATTTTGTTGCTTTTGATACTGTACACAAAATTCTTCTAATCCAAAATTTTTATAAACCTCTGAACTCTCCATTGCTCAGGGTTTTTCAATTTTAGGCCTTACTTTAGAATCAAGTCAAAAACAGTTTTTATTTTAAATTTTAAAAGTATTTGAAGTTGATAAAACAAGAGAAAAAAGTGCAGAAAAAAAAAATTAGATCAAATTACAAATCTAAATTTATTTTTTCTTTGCTATTCTTTTTTGCTAGCAAATTTGTTAAACGTTAAGCTGAACAAAAAGTCATAGATAAAATTTCCGTGGTTTTTGCAAAACAACTGTTAAACATCACCGATCTTGAATGACAACCTGCAAATGACTGCGTTGGCTAAACAACTAAATGACAGGAAAGCTCTAATGTCATTTTTATAAAATTGTGTATTCTTTTTCTTTCCCTTATTTTTTTTTCTTCTTTTTTTTTTTTTTTTACTTTTCTCTTCTTTACATGTTTGACGTATTCATAAATACAGAGATTTCTTTTGGAGAAGAAAAAGGAAACAAAGCTCATTTATTTTATTTCGTGCTTTTGAGTTTTTTTGTTTTTGTTTAGAACAGGAGATTAGAGTGTTATCATTTGGTTATTTTTTTTTTTTTTGGTCACATGGGCATTTTAATATGTCATTTTTTCCAACAGCGACAACCAGATGTCATCTGGTTGGGCAGCTAGCTTTTGATGGAGTGGGAGAGGTGAGAGAAAAGATTTGGATACAGCGGGGAGATTGAGGAAACCGGGGTTGGGAGGGATTGCTTAAAGTGTCGGTTTGTTATGTGTCAAATTGTCAATCGCTTAGTGACTACCCGTTCAGAGCAAACAACAACCAAAGTCAGCAGCAATTAGTTCTGCTCTACCGGCAGTTTAATATTGGCCAAAACTGTTAGTTTATTTAACAGTCTCAAGCTAGCAGAACATATAACGTACCAATTTGCAGTTGCTTCTATAAACAAATAGAATATAGATGATACATTGAGCAATTTATGTACAGTAACAAAAATGGTTTACCTGAAACTGTACATACAAAAATAAATACACACACAGTTAAGCATCAAAAGAGCTGACAAAAAGACTCGTAATCCTCACAACGATTTGTTTGTTTTAAGGCTAAAAATCTGTCTTAACTTTTTGTTATTTTGTTTTCTGGTTACGGGTGACTAAAACTGAATCCAAAATAAATTACTCATTGTACCCTGAAACTTTTCTTTTCATTGTTTTCCTGTAGAAATTATTCTTGAAAAGAAAAAAAATAAAATTATTAAAATTTTTTTGCAGTGATTTGCGAATTAGCATTGATTATGAAAAAGAATATGAGACTTTTGTTTTATCAGAATGTTCTAAAATTTTAAAAAAATGATTACCTACAGAAATTAATTTTGAAAAAAAATTAAATTTTTGGTTACTTAACCAAACACTTTCTTTTGTGGTACTGATTGTGGCATTTAATTGTGCATAAAATTTCTGTTAAACTTAAAAACATTGATCGATGTTGAGAGCAACGAAATATGAAAGGCACTCATATACACTGATGATTGCGTTGTAAATCAATCAGTCATTTTATTAACATAGCTAAGACCTAACCATCTAATGAAAAACAACGACAAGAACGAGGAAAAGAAAAGAAGAAAGTAAGATAAAAAGAAAAAATAACAGGCAAAAATTGAAAACACTAAAAAATTGATTTTGGGTTTTTTTCTTCCTGGTACTTTTAGAAAATTTTGTACTGAAACTAAGGTTTCTTTTTAGAAAAACTAAGTTGCAAAATATTTCAGACAAATGTCGGTACATTTGGATCCGTTGTCCAACAAGCAAACACCATCGTTGGTAGTCCGAAAGCCGCCTACTGTATCATCGTTACGAATATCTGAAAATGAGATAACCTACCAGCGAAATACCAGAGATTTTATTGGAATCGGTTAAAATTCATCAGTAATTAGTTAGAAACAAATATTGCTAAAAACTTTTTGTCTTGGAATAATAGTATTTTATTTTTCGCCTTCTTTCTACAGCTTTTTCTTTTACAGCAACCTTAGAAAGTAAACATACATTAATACTGTTTGATCCGAACAAATCGTTTCTTCATTGGATGGTTATTGACATCCCCTCATCGGCATTGGCGATAGGACAGATTCAAACTGGTGTTACAGTAAGAAATTTTTAACTTTTCATTTTCATTTATTAAATATTAGCTTTACAATTTTTAACAATTCCAACCAGGGGAAAGGAAAGACCAGACTGATACAGCTTAGAATTACAAGAAGTGCTTTTTCAGCACCACTGTAGTGTTTTGTCAGCCTAAGAATATTAGATGTGTTCTAACTAAAAAAAAATCAACCACTTTTACAAACAAAATTTGACTTTTATCTTATCACGTTAAAACTCGTCTAAATTTAAACTTATTTATGCACTTTACAATAACGCTAAAATTGTAAATTCTAAGCATAACTAATGTAAACTAAAAGTTTACAAAGTAACGGAAACAACTACAAAGTAATTGTCTGCTTAATATATTATTTTTTATTATTTGTTTTGATTGCTGTAACTTCAAAACAGAATTGACTTTTTGTTTAGCAAAGATGAATAAAAATTGGTCAAAAATTAATGCTATTTAAGGTGTAATTTGTTAGCCGAAAAAGCGGTAGAATATAAAAGAATAGAAAAAAC